GGCAAAATCAACTGTGAAAATATTTATGTGCTTCTTTTTATTAATTTAGCTTATCATTTTTTAAAAATCCTTCATTTTATGAAAAAACCCTCTTGATTCAAAAGAAAACTCTGTTTTTTAAGAAAATGGCTGCTTATTAATTAATCGTTAGTCAATCTATAAGATAAATCAACTTCATATTAACCCATAACTTACATCCCTAATTTATACAGGAATTAAATTGATTTATAACTACTTGTATTTATGTAATTATGTGTTTTAATGATTTGGCAGATCAATGGATTAGTAAAATAATGGTTAGTTGCAGCCCTACCACCAGCCCTCTGACTTCAAACGTTCACCTGTCTGTAATTCAGAGGGCGATCGGTCGCTCTGCTCTCCTTCCATCATCTGAGCCTCCTGCTCCATCTGATCCACCGTCCCGATGTCCATCATCTCGTCCAGGTCGTTCTCCGTAGAGACAGTCGGCTTCAGAGAGGAGGACTTCTTTTTCTCTCCCTCCTCCTCCTCCATCTGTTTTTCTTCCTCTTTGTGATCAGGAGCAGAGTCCTGGTTCACCTCAGCTCTTTGCTCTGAACGTTTGTCCTGTTCTGAAGCGTCTTCATCCTCCTTCACTTCCTGTTCTGAAGCATCATCATCCTCCTTCACTTCCTGCTTTGAAGCATCATCATCTTTCACTTCCTGCTTTGAAGCATCATCATCCTCTTTCACTTCCTGCTTTGTAGCATCATCATCCTCTTTCACTTCCTGCTTTGTAGCATCATCCTCTTTCACTTCCTGCTTTGAAGCATCATCCTCTTTCACTTCCTGATTTGTAGCATCATCCTCTTTCACTTCCTGATTTGTAGCATCATCCTCTTTCACTTCCTGATTTGTAGCATCATCCTCTTTCACTTCCTGTTTTGAAGCATCATCCTCTTTCACTTCCTGTTTTGAAGCATCATCCTCTTTCACTTCCTGTTTTGAAGCATCATCCTCTTTCACTTCCTGCTTTGAAGCATCATCCTCTTTCACTTCCTGCTTTGAAGCATCATCCTCTTTCAC